TGTGAAGAGGTGTGCCCAGCCCGCACCACAGATCTGCACCCAGCTCGGCACCCCCAGGTCTGCTCCCCCAGCCCAGCACCCCCATGCCTGCACCCCCAGCCCGGCGCCCCCATGCCTGCACCCCCAGCCCGGCGCCCCCATGCCTGCACCCCCAGCCCGGCGCCCCCATGCCTGCACCCCCAGCCCAGCGCCCCCATGCCTGCACCCCCAGCCCGGCGCCCCCATGCCTGCACCCCAAGCCCAGCACTCCCAGCCCAGCACCCCCATGCCTGTACCCCCAGCCCAGCACCCCCAGGTCTGCACCCCCAGCCCGGCGCCCCCATACCTGCACCCCCAGCCCGGCGCCCCCATGCCTGCACCCCCATGCCTGCACCCCCATGCCTGCACCCCTATGCCTGCACCCCCAGCCCAGCACCCCCATGCCTGCACCCCCATGCCTGCACCCCTATACCTGCACCCCCAGCCCGGCGCCCCCAGGTCTGCACCCCCATGCCTGCACCCCCATGCCTGCACCCCCATGCCTGCACCCCTATGCCTGCACCCCCAGCCCGGCGCCCCCAGCTTGTGCTGGCCCCAAGACCACCCTGGGAAGGACGCTGGGCAGGGGTCCGGGTGCAGCCTGCCCAGGCAGCAGGGTGCCTGGTGGCTCCTCTCTGTGCCTGGGGCTCAGGTAAGACCAGGCCCAGAGCGGCCCACGGCCAAACCGCAGACCTGGCAGAGCCTCCGGGCCGTTGGCAGAAGCCGGGGGGCGGGGGCTGCCATCGCTTCCCAGAGCTGCTCCCGCCAGTTCCCCGGGAGCCCGCCAGGGCCACTGCCACGAGGAGAGCCACGCCGCCCGCGCCGATGGGCAGCAGCGGGGGGAGGGCCGAGGGCTCTGAGCGCAGCCACGTGGACGGAGGTGCCTGCCCACCGGCTCCCCCCACCTGAGTCTGGACTCCCCGGCTCCCCGGGACCCGCCCTGTGGCTTGGGCGACGGCACACTCTCCGCCCACCCTTTGGGCCGGCCGGCTCCTCAGTCCTCTCCGGCCGCCGGCCCCAGCACCACGGCCTCTTTGCGGCCTGGACACCGGAGGACGGTTCCGCGTCCTCACGCCTGAGTGACAGGCTGGCCCTTCCGGCCTCACAGCTCTCACCACTCTGGGCTCGGAACGATAGGCCCCACCACCTACTTCTGTTCTGGGGTCAAACCCTGGAGTCAGAATAAGACCACCGGAGGCTGCTGGTTGGTTAAAAGAGCAGCAGGATTTACTGAGCTGGCCAGGACGGCCGCAGGATCGCCACACCAGCTGGGGTCCATACTCAGGACCGCCGGTCCAGGTGTAGGCAGTCCTTCCAAAGGTCTAAACCGCAGAAGCGGTTTGGCTCAGTGGATAGAGCGTCGGCCTGCGACTGAAAGGTCCCAGGTTCGATTCCGGTCAGGGGCATGTACATTGGTTGTGGGCACATCCCCGGTAGGGAGTGTACAAGAGGCAGCTGGTTGATGTTTCTCTTTCATCGATGTTTCTAGCTCTCTATCTCTCTCCCTTCCTCTCTGTAAAAAATCAATAAAAAATAAATAAAATAAATAAAGGCCTAAACCAGTGTTTCCCAAACTTCTCTCATTGATGAGAATCACCTGGTGGAGTGTTAAACTACAGATTCCTGTATTTTGTTCCCCAAAATTCTAATTTAACACTTCTTAGTTGGAATTCAGGAATCTGTATTTTAACAACTCCACCAGGTGATTCTCATCATGAGAGAAGTTTGGGAAACACTGGTCTAAACCACAGACATTTTCCTTTGTTCTAAATTCTAAATTCTAAAGACTGGGGTCAGCCCGCAGGGCCGTCCCCAGCCACCTCCTGCTGGCGTCAGAACGTGGCCCTCTCTTGCGAAAGCAGAGAGTACAGAAGCAGAGCTGAGGGGTTAGTCTCTAAAGGTTATCTGCAGTTTCTACCCCTGATGCTACCGAGTCCCTGGGAATCGGTCTCCTGTGGCCCTGGTCCAGGCCCAGGACAGGGAAAGCCTCAGCCTCCAGGTCTCCATCCGGAAGCGGAGGCACTACCTATGGTTTAAGCGAGTCAGCGGGTGCAGCAGCCAGAGCAGCAGGGTTAAAGCTCCAACAGCGGTTCTCCCTAAGCATGCTTGCTTCCATTCTTCACTTCCTGCCCGTGGGTCTGCCTCGGGGCCTCGAGCAGGTCCACAGGGTCCGTCCGTCCCCCTGGGGCTGGCTCATTCCCTCGGCACAGCGTCCTCACGCCATCCGGGGCGGGCGGCAGGTCCCTTCCCCTTTAAGGCGGTTAGACCCGTGTGCAGAGGGCCCGCATACGTGTGCCCATGCGTGTGCCTCCCCTCGCCCGCTGCGCCTTTGCTGCTGGGATGTGGGCACACGGCCTGGCCGGGCCCCCGCCTTGTGGTCCGGGGCACCCCTGTCTCCCTGTCTCTCTATCTCTCCCTGTCTCTCCCTATCTCTCCCTCTCTCCCTGTCTCTCTGTCTCTCCCTGTCTCTCTCCCTATCTCTGTCTCTCCCTGTCTCTCTGTCTCTCCCTGTCTCTCTCCCTGTCTCTGTCTCTCCTGTCTCTTTCTCTCCCCGTCTCTCTCTGTCTCTCTGTATCTCTGTCTCTTGGGCCACTCCCTGGCCCAGGCGGTGACGAGCGACCGTGTCACCGATAGGGCTTCATTAAAACCCCATCCATCTAGCTCCGGGCAGCCGGGCCAGCCCTGTGAGCAAACAAGCACCCTGGCCTCGCCCGTTTTGGGGAATTCGGGGACCGGCCAGTCCCCCCTGCCCCCCCAAACGTGCCAACACCGCTCCCTCGGGGCCCTGAAGCGGAAGGGCAGGGCACCTCTGCTGGGCCCGAGGCCGCTCCCGGCCCTGCCCCCTGCCCCTGCCGCCTGCCCAGGCCCCCGCGCCCCCCGGCCCTGCCGCCTGCCCCTGCCGCCTGCCCAGGCCCCCCGCGCCCCCCGGCCCTGCCCCCTGCCCCTGCCGCCTGCCCAGGCCCCCTGCGCCCCCCGGCCCTGCCGCCTGCCCAGGCCCCTGGGGCCCCCGACCCTGCCGCCTGTCCCGGCCCCCGGGGCCCCCGGCCCTGCCCCCTGCCCCTGCCACCTGCCCAGGCCCCCGGGGCCCCCGGCCCTGCCCCCTGCCCAGGCCCCCGGGGCCCTCGGCCCTGCCGCCTGCCCCTGCCGCCTGCCCAGGCCCCCGGGGCCCCCCGACCCTGCCGCCTGCCCAGGCTCCCCATGCCCCCCGGCCCTGCCGCCTGCCCAGGCCCCCCGCGCCCCCCGGCCCTGCCGCCTCCCCAGGCCCCCGGGGCTCCCACGGAGGCTGGCAGCCGGGGTCCCACGTGTGAGGGCCCAGGTCAGGTGGCGGGCGGGGCCGAGGGCTCAGGGCTCAGGAAGCTCGGCTCTGAGAGGAAGCCGGGCCCTCGCAGCCCCCACTCCCGACGGCAGCCCCTCCGAGGGCTGATCTCTCTCCCCGCCTGCCCACCCACACGGGCGCCCCAGCCGTGTCTGTGGGACCGGGAGTGGGTATCGTACGGGGCAGCTGGCCGCCCCCACTGACCTCTCCCCAGTCACGCCCCCAAGCCCAGGGCCTAGGACACCAGCCTGTGGACAGCAACTCCGCTGCCCGCTCCGTCCCCTCCCCCCCTCACTGGCCCCTCGAACCCGAGGGCTGCGGCCAACTCGCTTCCCAGGCCCGGGGCGCCCGCAGGCAGGCGGGGAGAGGGGGTCGGCCTGGACAAACTCCACTTTGGGGAGCAGCGCCCCCTAACCCACCGCGGACGCCCACACAGGTGCGGCTCCGGGGGACGCCCAGGTGGTCACCTCGCCCCACCCCGGCCCGCCGCCCACTTCCCGTCCGTGGGTCTGACCCGGGGCCTCCTCTGAGCGGGTCCCCCGGGGCCCGTCCCTCTGGGTCTGGCTTGTCCGCTCGGCCGGCGGCCTCACTGGCCGGCGGGGCCGGCGGCAGGCCCCCTCCCACCGCAGTGAGACCCCGCGGAGGCCGCGCCGGCCGGCGGCCTGGGCCCCGCCGCTGGGCGGCTGCACCGTGTGGGAAGGCCCACTCGGGGACTGAGGTCACCGGGGGCAGGCTCTCTGGGTGGACGGCTCCCGTGGCCGTGACTGGGGGACAGGGCTGTGGTGCTGGAAGGGTCCGGGGGGCCACCCCCAGTGCCCACTACCCGGGGTGCCACGGCCACAGAAGCCACGTCACCGCCCTCTCTGCCCGCTGCACCGCTCCCCGCGCCGGGGGCAGCCTGAGGGCGGGCAGCTCCCGGCACGCACGCCGGGGGCCCAGCCTGCACCGTCCCAGCCCCTCACGTGGCCGGGATGGAGGCCCAGGGTCCCCGGCCGTGCCGCTCTGCCCCCGCCCGGAGCCGCCCGGTTGGCAGGGGCCGAGGGGCAGCCTGAGGTGTGGGACATTGTCCGGCAGAGGCCACGGGCACCCCTCACCCTCCCGTCAGGCTCCCGGTGGACGAGGGCGGCCCGGCGCGGACAGTCCCCTCCTTGCTGGCCGCCCCGCAGGTGCGCGCGCCCCCAGCGACCCTGCGGTGCAGGGAGCGGGCAGGGCCTGCGGGACCCCCAGCTCGGCCTCGGGGAGGGAGGCAGCGGAGCGGGCGCGCCCTCTGGCCCGGGCCCAGCGCGGGATCAGATTAGCCGCCTCCCTGACCCCTTTATCGGGGCCAGGATGTTGTCTCAGGCGGGCGGGCGGGCGCTGCGGCCGGCCCCACCCTCGGCCGGGTCACCGGCCGGCCGGCCGCTGGGCGCGGGCAGGGACGGCCGCGTTTCTGTCCCTGGGCAGGAGGGCCCGGGGCGGGAGGGGCCCGGGGCGGGAGGGGCCGGGGCGGGAGGGGCCCAGGGCGGGAGGGGCCCAGGGCGGGAGGGGGGCCCGGGGCGGGAGGAGGGGCCCGGGGTGGGAGGGGGTGCAGTTAAGGGGTGAGGGCTGGGGGGTGGAAGTGGGAGCTTGGGGGCTGGTACAGGGGCCGGGCTGGTGCCCCCCCCCAGGGCCACCTGTGTCCAGGCAGGCCGAGCTGCATGCCGCCCCCCACGCTCCTGCGTGGCCCTGGGACGCTGCCCGCAGCAGCCACGCCAGAGCCTCAGCCCGGAGCCCGCCTGCCCGCACGGCCGCGGAGCCCTCCCCGGGGACGTGGGGCCTCGCGGCCCCTCCTGTCCCAGCACTCCCACGTGTCGGGGCACACTGCAGCCAGCCGTGGGTCCGTCTGTCTGTCCTCCGGGCGGGGCCTGGGCCGAGGCGGGCTCTGAGCCGTGGGGCCGGAGAGAGGAAAGCAAACAGCTCTTTGTCTGCGGCCTTGGCTTCTGCTCGAGGGGCACCGGGGACAAAAGCCGAGTGGGCCGAGCAGCCTCCCGTCTAGACAGTCCCCCCGGGCCCCCCGGCCCCCGGCCCCCCGGCCCCCCGTGGGCAGAGGGGCTGGGCCTCCAGGAACCTGCTGAGGGGCCGGAGGAGGGGCCGGAGGAGGGACAGCCAAGAGCCGAGACTCCAAAGCCGAGACTCCAGCCAGCTCAGAGGGCCTGTGGGATCAGACACCTCCTTCCTTCAGCCCCACACCGGCTCCTCCACGGAGCACCTGGCAGCGCTGCCGACGCCGGCGTGCCCGTGTCACCGCACCCTCCCCCGGCAGCGCCGGCTCCCACCGCTCAGTGCCCGCGCCCGCACAGCCCCCCGCGCACAGTCCCTCTGCGGCTCACAGGAGGTCCGGGGCCGGGCCGCAGCCAGGACCCCGGCAGCCGGCCAGCCGGGCGGACCAGCCGGTGAGCCTGGGCCAGCGAGGCCACCGCTGTGAGGTCAGCGCCGATACACTCCCGGCTGGCGGGCCCGAGGGGCCGGTGACAAACCTGAATGACCGCTCCGGCCGGGACGCCCACCCACGGGCCCACTGCCGGGACCAGGAAGCCCACGGGCCCGTGTCCTGCTCCGAGTCCAGGCCCACGACCCCAGTGACCAGGCCTCAGCCAGCGGACACGCACCCGCAGGCCACGGAGCAACGATGCACATGTGGCAGCCTGGGCGGTGGGCCCAGTGCTGAGAGACTCAGCCGCACACCAAGGGGTCGTGGGTTCGAGTCCTGGTCCAGGGCATGGGCCTGAGCTGCTGGTTTCATCCCTGGCCCCGATTGGGGCGGGTGCAGGAGGTGACCAATCTCCCTCCCCTCTCTCTCTAAAAACCAATGGGCCATCGGTGTGGCTCTGTGGTTGAGCATCACCTGTGAACCAGGAGGTCATGGTTTGATTCCCGGTCGGGCACAGGCCTGGGTTTCAGGCTCCCTTCGTCTCTGGAAAAAATAAAATAAAAATCTAGGTATCTGGATATATTTAAGTCAAAGGAAAACTATCCTCGGGTGAGGAATAGCAAAATAATAAAATAGAATAGAATGAAATAGAATAAAATAAAATAAAATAAATAAAACTCCGACACTTTGCTTGGGGAAGAGCACCCTGAGGGACAGCAGGTTCCTGGTGGAAACCAAAGCCCTGAAGCAGGGCCTGTGGGGCAGGGGGAGGCCCTGCCTCCAGAATGCGCCCCCGGGCACGTCCCCCCTCTCCTCCCGGCGGGGGGGGGGGGCAGGTGGGCGGGGCTTGTCCGGGAGGCGCCCCAGCGAGGGCTCTGGGGAGAGCGGATTACGGAAACGCTCGCCATTGACACTGCGGCGCCAACACCCTTTCCTGACAACAGAAAACAGGACAAAGCCACACGGATGCGCGGGAACTCGACACCGTCAGCAGGATGTCGCGGGCTTTCCGAGGACGCGCCTGCCGCACGGGCACACCTGCGGGGCCGAGGCCTGGGCCGGAGAGCGGCCGACGGCACCGCACGGAAATCAGTTTCTCCTCCGACAACCGGGACCCAGTAACAGGGAGCGAAAGGAAAGTTACAGAAAATCCAAACACTCAGAAAGACATTGCTAGCTAACCCTGCCCCTGCCCCCGACCTGCCCCTGCCCTGCCTCAGCCCCTGGCCCTGACCTGCCCCTGCCCTTGCCCCCTGCCCCTGCCCTCGCCCCCCCGACCTGTCCCTGACCTGCCCCTGCTTCTGCCCCTGCCCCTGTCCTGCCTCAGCCCCTGCCCCTGACCTGCCCCTGCTCCTGCCCCTGACCTGCCCCTGCCCCTGCCCCCCGACCTGTCCCTGACCTGCCAGGGCAGGGCTGAGGTGTGAGGCTGAGCAGGGAGCAGGAGAGCTCAGACCAGCAGCCGGCGGCCGGGCAGGGACCCGGGGGTCTAAGGGCCCACGTCTCCACTCGCCTCACCACCTCAGCTCAGGCACGTGGCCGGGCAGCCGCGCTCCTGTGCGGGGTCCGCAGCCCGGCGGCTCCCTCCTCCTGCCCAGCACTCAGGGGGGGCGCTCATCCGACCTCGGGAGGGGCCTGGGCCTGCTGGGGGCCCTGCCGTCCCCTGAGGGCTCCCCCTCAATCTCCGGGCCAAGGGCCTGCTGATCGGCGAGGATGTCAGGCCCCAGGACCCTCTGCACCCCAGCTCCACGGAGCAGGCGAGGCCTCATGGCCGAGGGGAGAGAGCCAGCCGCTCTGTGGGAGAGCTGCCTCCGGTGCAGGGGCCGCAGCTCAGGGGCCCCGGGGCCACGGGACCACGGGGACCACGGGGACCATGGGGACCACGGGTGCGGGTCACCTGGGCCTGTCCCATGGGGTGTGCCACACGGGGTCGGGCTTATTGACAGTCCGTCCCGGGGCAGGTGTCAGGGCCCCTCCCTCCGAGGCCGAGTGGATCCGTGTGCGTGGGCCGCCCCGCCCGCTGCTTCCGGCGCTGCTGGGGGCGCCCGTGCCTCTCGGGGACCCGGCTCCATCGCTGGCCGATGTGCGAGCGGCCGCTGGCCGGACTTCCGCGTGTGACTGACAGGGAGGAGGCGTCTGCCGAAGAGCTGAGCCATCGAACCCCTCCCCTGCCCCCTGTCCCCGGGCTGAGGGTCCCCCCTCCGGGGCGGAGCGTCCGGCCGGGAGCCCCAGGCGGCGGTCTCGCGGGCCGACGGGAGGTCATGGGCCTTTCCTCGTCCTCACGCAGGCCCGCCTGGCAGGCCCAGGTGCGCGGGCTGCGGGGGGGATGGGGGGGCTCTGAGTGCGAAGAGCCACTCCCCACCCTCCCCCCCGCAGCCCGCGAGGAGGGGGAGGGGACCTGGGGCAGCTCTGCCCGGGGTCTGAGCTCTCCACTGACTCCACGGCTCAGGGCGCCTGGGGGCTGTGGCCTGGGGGGCTGTGGCCTGGGGGGGCTGTGGCCTGGGGGGCTGTGGCCTGGGGGGGCTGTGGCCTGGGGGGGGCTGTGGCCTGGGGGGGCTGTGGCCTGGGGGGGGCTGTGGCCTGGGGGGGGCTGTGGCCTGGGGGGGCTGTGGCCTGGGGGCTGTGGCCTGGGGGGGCTGTGGCCTGGGGGGGCTGTGGCCTGGGGGGCTGTGGCCTGGGGGGGGGCTGTGGCCTGGGGGGGCTGTGGCCTGGGGGGGGCTGTGGCCTGGGGGAGGGCTGAGGGCCTTTGTGTTTCCTGGGTCTGGAGGTTGCGGAGGCCTGGGGCTGAGGGCAGGGGGGGGGGCTGCAGGAGCCTGTGCCCCGGGGAAGAGACCTCCAGCCCAGCAAGGCTGGGCCAGGCCAGGCAGGGAAGGTGGGGGGCGGGGAAGGTGGGGGGCGGGGAAGGCGGGGGGCGGGGAAGGTGGGGAGCAGGGAAGGTCGGGGGAAGGTGTGGGGGAGGAAGGTGGGGAGGTGGGGGGCAGGGAAGGTGGGGGGGCGGGGAAGGTTGGGGAAAAGGTGTGGGGGGGAAGGTGGGGAGGTGGGGGGCGGGGAGGTGGGGGGGCAGGTGTTGGGGGGAAGGTTGGGGGGCAGGAGAGGTGGGGCCTCCTGGGCGGGAGCTGCCTGAGCCCTGGGGAGGCATTCTGTTTGTCCAGTGATTCAGATGAACAAACAGAGGCACGGAGGCGGGAGCGTGGGCCCCGCCACGAAACCAAACGACCCCTCGCCCAGCGGAGGCGGCCGTGCCCGTGGGCACCCGAGGGCACTCCCTGGCCCCGGAGCCCGGCAGTGGGCCCGGCCCTCCTCACCGAAGCCCCCGGGGTGCGGGGAGAGGGCGCCCACCAGCTCTGCCATGAGGCGGCGACCCTCGCCGCCCCCATCCCCGCCTGGGCCTCCCCGAGGCGGCCGGGGGCCCCGTGCCACGAGGCCCGTCTCCATCACTCGGCCCGGCGAGGCCCCTCCGGCTGGGAGCCCCCACCTGTCCCTCAGCCGCCTCAGCAGCTGGGGGGCCCCGTCCCCCTTGCACCCCGCACACCAGGGGCGCGGACACCACGCACTGGCGGGCGGTACGGAGATGTGGGTGCCCCCGGGACCGAAGGTGCTGCCTGAACACCCGGGAGGCCCGGCCACTCCAGACGCATGACCTGCGAGGGAGCAGCCTGCTCAGCCTCTCACCGCCCCCTGGGCCCGCAGGCCGCTCCTTGGGGGCTGGGGTGGGGCCACGGGGCAGGCAGGCACTTCGGGGACAGACAGCTCCGGGTGCCGGCTGGCCCCCGTTTTCCAGATGAGAAGCCCGGCTCAGAGAGGGTGACGCGCTGGCCCAGGCCACACAGCTGCCGGGCGCTGGCGGGGGACCACCTCCCCCAGGCGTGTCACCTGGGAAGGGGGTGGCACACGGCCCTGGTGTGTTAGGGCTGAGCCGAAGCCGTGCCTGGACCGCCGAGCGCCCCCCCCCCCCGCCGTGGGGGGCACAGAAGCCGGGGGGCTCTCCTTTCGGATGTGTCCGGGCCTGGGGGCGGGGGCGGGGCAGCTGTTGACCTCTGGGTGGAGGTGCCCCGAGTGGGGAGTGGAACTCGAGGTGCTGCTTCTCCTGGTCCCTGGGTGAACGCCAGCCCCACGGAGGCAGGCAGAGGCAGGAGCCCGCGGCGAGGCCAGCCCAGATCCGCCCAGACCAGGACCCTGCACCAGGCCTCGGCTGTGCCCAGGAGCCAGGAGGTCAGGGTTTGGTTCCCGGTCAGGGCTCATGCCCAGGCTGTGGGCTCCATCCCAGTGAGGGGCGTGCAGGAGGCAGCCGATCAGTGATTCTCTCATCATTGATGTTTCTCTCTCTCTCTCTCTCCCCCTCTCCCTTTCTCTCTGAAATCAATAAAAAAATATATATATATTTTTAAAGGACTGAAACGCAGGCGATAAGCCGGCACAGGGACAGGCCGGCGGGATGAGACCCCGGACGCCCTGCCAGGAGCAGGCAGGGCAGGTGGGGCCGGCGGGGCGGGGCGGGGCTGGGGCCCAGCGCTGCCTCCTTCCTGCTGGGTGTGAGGGAGCAGGAGGCAGAGGCCCCCGAGGAGAGGCTGCGAGGGGCCGGGGCTGCGTCTGCCCTAAGGCGGGTCCCGGGGCCCAGCCCATCTGCATCCTCCCAGAGGGCGCTCGGGGGGCAGCCCGCCGGGGCCAGGGTGCCCGGCCCCACACTGCACCCCCTTCGGGCGGGACGGGGCTGGCGGGCGTCCATCCTCCTCGGTGGGCACCGGCCTCGCCCGCTCCCAGGCTATCTGGTGCCGCTCCGCCCGTGCCCGGCCCACATGAGTCACGCCCGCGATAGCGTGGCAGCGAGTGTCGCTCTGGGATCAGCCAGGCCCTCCTCCCAGCTCCCACCCCGTCCTCCGTCCCCATGGCAACGCCAGGGAGGTCCTGCGGGCGGGAGGGACCCCGGCTCTCTCTCCAGTCAGACCCAGGAGGGGGCTGGCATGACCCAGGTGTCCTCCCGTGTGCCGCCCGCCCCCTGCCCGCAGCCCAGACTGTGGGCCCCCTGCCCGCAGGACCCCCTTTCCAGCCCAGGGGGCAGGCTCAGAGAGGCAGCGGCTCGCCCAGCGGGGCCTCTCCCTGCACGCACCCCCCTGAGCGGGGACCCCGTGGCCCCCTGCCCCGCCCCCCCCAGGCTCTGGAGGGCCAGGAAGGACCCTGAGTTTTGAGTCCGGGCCAGGCCCCAGGCCCAGGGAGGGCGAGGGTCACAGGCCTGGCCTGTCCCGCCCCAGGGGCAGGGAGGCCACAGGTCACCAGCCACAACCCCTGACCCACCTGAGTCACCAGCCTGGCCCTCGGAGGGCCGTGCCACGAGGCCACGGACGCGCCGGCCGCCAGGCTCGCACCCCGAACCTGCACGCGCGTAAGATGCCGGCCAGGCCGCCTGGGCTTCCCTGGAGCCCCCTCAAACCACCTGACACAGGCCACCCGCCTGCCCCCCGAAAATCTAGCCCAGAACGGACACCTTGGGGGGCCCAGGCCTGGCTGCTCAGCCTGAGGTTCCAGCTTCCGAGGGGCTCAGGGGAGGGAGGGGTGGGAGTCAGACACAGGACAAGCCAGACCGTCCACCGGCCCGACCCACCAGGTCCCCTGTCCCATCCTGCCTGCACCCCCTTCCCTGTGCGATTCCTCACCACCCACTCACCCACTCACCCACCCACCCACCCACTCACCCGCTCACTTACTCACCCTCCCACTCACCCACTCACCCACCCACTCACCCACTCACGCACTCACCCACACACCCACCCACTCACTCACCCACTCACTTACTCACCCACTCACGCACTCACCCACACACCCACCCACTCACCCACTCACTTACTCACCCACTCACTCACCCACACACCCACCCACTCACCCACTCACCCACCCACCCACCCACTCACCCACTCACGCACTCACCCACACACCCACCCACTCACTCACCCACTCACTTACCCACTCACCCACACACCCACCCACTCACCCACACACCCACCCACCCACCCACTCACCCACCCACTCACCCACTCACGCACTCACCCACTCACGCACTCACCCACACACCCACCCACTCACCCACTCACTTACTCACCCACCCACACACCCACCCACTCACCCACTCACCCACACACCCACACACTCACCCTCACACCCACCTACACACCCACTCACCCACCCACTCACCCACTCACGCACTCACCCACACACCCACCCACTCACTCACCCACTCACTCACCCACACACCCACCCACTCACCCACTCACCCACCCACCCACCCACACACCCACCCACTCACCCACTCACCCACCCACTCACCCACTCACCCACCCACTCACCCACCCACCCACCCACTCACCCACCCACTCACCCACTCACCCACCCACCCACCCACCCACACACCCACCCACTCACCCACTCACCCACCCACCCACTCACCCACCCACCCACCCACACACCCACCCACTCACCCACTCACCCACCCACTCACCCACTCACCCACCCACTCACCCACCCACCCACCCACTCACCCACCCACTCACCCACCCACCCACCCACTCACCCACCCACTCACTCCCTTGTTCATGGTCCCCCAGGCGCCTGTGATGGGTGAGGAGTCAGTTCCTCTCCCAGGGCCCGGGCACTGGGCACCAGGCACCGGGCACCGGGCACCGGGAGCTGGGCAGGTCCTGAGCGCGGCCACAGGTTTTCAGAGCAGCTCTGAGCCCCTTGGGTCCCAGACCTCGGCCCAGCTGCCCCCACTCCCTGGGCTGCCTCCCTCCTCCTGGATGGCCGGGCGTCCACCGCCGTGGCCTGGGCCGGGCGTGCACCGCCGTGGCCTGGGCCGGGCGTCCACCGCCGTGGCCTGGGGCCGGGTGTCCACCGCCGTGGCCTGGGCCGGGTGTCCACTGCCGTGGCCTGGGCCGGGCGTCCACCGCCGTGGCCCGGGCCGGGCGTCCACCGCCGTGGCCTGGGGCCGGGCGTCCACCGCCGTGGCCCGGGCCGGGCGTCCACCGCCGTGGCCTGGGCCGGGTGTGCATACGCCGTGGCCTGGGCCGGGTGTCCACCGCCGTGGCCTGGGCCGGGTGTCCACCGCCGTGGCCTGGGCTGGGCGTCCACCGCCGTGGCCTGGGCCGGGTGTGCATACGCCGTGGCCTGGGGCCGGGTGTGCACCGCCGTGGCCTGGGCTGGGCGTCCACCGCCGTGGCCTGGGGCCGGGTGTGCATACGCCGTGGCCTGAGGCAGGGTTCACACGCCTGTGCTGTTTCTGCCGGACCATCAGGGTGAGGCCTGGGGGACGGGGTCAGGCCAGGTGGCATTGCTGCACAGCTGGGCAGACACCCCTGCCCTCCCAGCCACAGGCTGTGAATCCAGCTGCCCCTACCCACTGCCCCTGCCCATGCGCCCGGGGCCAGGAGCTAAAGCACAGCAGGGTGCGTGGGGCCGGGGTGCACAGGGGGTGGGGTGGGGAGAAAGGCCTGCCGGGAGCCGCCCCAGCCCCTCTCCAGGGGGCGAGGCTGGCCTGGTGAGGAGACCCGGCCTCTCTGACGCCGGGCGCTCGGCTCCGGCCGCATGAGCACCGGCTAGCATCCCTCAGGGCGGGCCCAGAGGCAGGACGCCTGAGCCAGGATGGGGTGCCCTCAGGGAGCCAGGCCCCCCAACCCCCTACCCCCACCTTTGTCCCCACCCCATCTCCGCCTGGCCCCGGCCGCCGGCCAGCCCACAGCCGTGCCCATTGTTTACCTGGTGAGGGGGCCTCGCCCGCCCCGCCCCGCCCGCGGAGGCGTCACGTGGCCTCGGCGCCGGGTACAAAGCCTCCTGCCCGCGGCCCTCCCCGCGCTGCCTCTCGAACCTCTGCCATGGGTGTCGGCCGCAGGGAGCCGGTGCCGCTCTGGGCCCTGGCCCTCTCCCTGGGCCTGGCCTGCGCCCAGCACACAGGTGAGCTGCCGGCCGCCTGTCCGGCCGGCGCCCGCCGCCCCGCCATGGTGGCCCCGGCCGGGCGGCAGCGGCTCAGGCCTGTCCTGCTCCGGACGGGCGGAGGATGCCCGCCGTGGCCAGCTCCGGGCTGCAGGCTGAGGCGGAGCGGAGCCGGGTCCTGGCCCTCGCTGCCCCCGACCCACACGCCTCGCCCTCCGGTTCTCCATGCTCACCGCTCCCGGCCTCCTCCCCCTCCCCCCTCCTCCCTCCTCCCTCCTCCCCTCTCCGCTCTGGGACCCCAGAAATCAGCCTCCGGTACCCGGGCAGCCTGGGGCTGACAGCACCCTGCCTCCCCAGCTGCGCCCCTGCTCCGTGGCCGGCACCCCCTGTGGACCAGCTCCTCCCCCACTTCGGCCCCCAACCTGCCCCCCGTTTTCCTGGGGAGCCTAGTGCCTCCTGACCAGCTGTCGGGCCGCTTAGAGGCCGCGCCCCGGCTGCTGGGCAGGGGTCTGCCACGGGGAAACGAGTTGTGAATGAGGGAACAGTGAGTGGAGGTCCCGGAGACCCCAGGTCTGGCTGGGGGACCCCCCGCTGGCGGGCTAAGCTGAGGGGTGCCACAGGAGCGCCTGGCTCAGCAGTGGGCCCAGGCGGCCGGCCCCCCTCAGGCACCGCACGCCTCTCGCCGCCCGGCTCAGGCCAGCGCCCCCTCTCCCCACAGGCGGGGCCCAGCTCAGCTCTGCACCCGGCCATGAGCACCCGCACCTCCCTCCCGCCCCCCAGGGGCCCAGTGGTGAGTCTGCCCTCCTCCCAGAGCCGCCCCATCACCCCGGGGTGCCTCCCAGCCGGCCCCACCGCGGGGCCAGGGCTTGGCTGGAGACCCCACATGCACGCAGGGGGGCTGGCCTCTCGGGGTGTGTCGGTGTCCACGCTGCCTGGCTGGGGCCCCAAGCTCAGCCTCCCGCCCTCCCAGCCCTGGTGTCTCCCAGCACGGCTCCCCGGCCCGGACCTCAGTGCCGAGGGGCGGCTCCGGCCCTGGGCCCCTCCAGGCGCTTCGGAGATTCTGGGCGCCAGGAGCACCGGGCAGAAGGCCTGGGGCCTCGGGGGCGTGAGTGCGGCCAGCAGGTGGCCTGGGCGTGGCCTGCGGAAGCAGAGCTGGCCTGGGAGCCCCGTGGCGCTGGGCAGACCCTCTCCCCACACTGCCCCCCCGGGGGGCAGAGGAGCCGGGGGCTGTGTGTCACCGCCCTGCCCCCCCCCCGGGGGGCAGAGGAGCCGGGGGCTGTGTGTCACCGCCCTGTCCCCGCAGGCGATGCCCTCCGCGGGGTGACCATCCTCCCGCCTCCGAGGACCGCCCCCGTGGTGCGCGGTGAGTGGACCCGCAGGGCTGGGCTGTGGTGGGGCCTCCTCCCTCAGGCCGGGCCGCTTCCTGGGGGACACCCAGCGCTGGACGAGGGCCCCCGCGCCGGCAGGACCCCCAGTGCCCGGCTGGGGCAGGTGCCGGCGGGGGGGCCCTCAGCACGCCCGCCCCTCCCGCAGCCCTGAGCCGGGCGCCGGCGGGACCCCCAGTGCCCGGCTGGGGCAGGTGCTGGCGGGGGGGCCCTCAGCACGCCCGCCCGCCCCTCCCGCAGCCCTGAGCCGGGCGCACGGCGGGACCCCCAGTGCCCGGCTGGGGCAGGTGCCGGCAGGGGGGCCCTCAGCACGCCTGCCCCTCCCGCAGCCCTGAGCCGGGCGCACGGCGGGACCCCCAGTGCCCGGCTGGGGCAGGTGCCGGCGGGGGGGCCCTCAGCACGCCTGCCCCTCCCGCAGCCCTGAGCCGGGCGCACGGCGGGACCCCCAGTGCCCGGCTGGGGCAGGTGCCGGCAGGGGGGCCCTCAGCACGCCTGCCCCTCCCGCAGCCCTGAGCCGGGCGCACGGCGGGACCCCCAGTGCCCGGCTGGGGCAGGTGCCGGCGGGGGGGCCCTCAGCACGCCCGCCCCTCCCGCAGCCCTGAGCCGGGCGCACGGCGGGACCCCCAGTGCCCGGCTGGGGCAGGTGCCGGCGGGGGGGCCCTCAGCACGCCCGCCCCTCCCGCAGCCCTGAGCCGGGCGCACGGCGGCCGGGTGTGCAGCACGTGGGGCGACTCCCACTACAAGACCTTCGACGGCGACGTGTTCCGCTTCCCCGGCCGCTGCAACTACGTCTTCTCGGCGCACTGCGGGGCCGCCTACGAGGACTTCAACGTGCAGCTGCGCCGCGGCCCGGCCGGCGCCCCGCACGGCGTCACCATGAAGCTCCGCGGCCTCGTCCTGCAGCTGACCCCCAACTCCGTCCTGGTCAACGGCCGCCCGTGAGCCTGGGCCCGGGTCCGAGGGCGGGGGGTCACCCTCAGGAGTGAAGGGGGGGCCCCCACTGCCCCGTCCCCGTCCCCGTCCCCATCCCCTCTCCCTGCCCCGTCCCCATCCCGCCCGCTGCCCTGTCTCCGTCCCCTCTCCCTGCCCCGTCCCCGCCCCCTCTCCCGCTGCTCCGTCCCCGTCCCCTCTCCCTGCCCCGTCCCCATCCCCGTCCCCGTCCCCTCTCCCTGCCCCGTCCCCGTCCCGCCCGCTGCCCTGTCCCCGCCCCTCTCCCTGCCCCGTCCCCATCCCTCCCGCTGCCCTGTCCCCATCCCTCCCGCTGCCCCGTCCCCGTCCCCTCTCCCTGCCCTGTCCCCGTCCCCTCTCCCTGCCCCGTCCCCGTCCCCTCTCCCTGCCCTGTCCCCGTCCCGCCCGCTGCCCTGTCCCCGTCCCCTCTCCCTGCCCCGTCCCCGTCCCGCCCCCTGCCCTGTCCCGCCGTGGCCGTAGGACCTCCCTGCCAGGGCCAGCCCCGCGCTGTCCTCACGCCCGGCTCTCCCGCAGGACACAGCTGCCCTTCAGCCAGGCGGGGGTCCTGGTGGAGCACAGCACCAGCTTCCTGAAGGTGGCGGCCCGGCTCGGCCTGGTCTTCATGTGGAACCAGGACGGCAGCCTCCTGGTGAGCCGGGCGGGCGGAGGGCGGGCGGAGGGCGGGCAGGTGGGGCCAGGGCCCTGGCAGGGCCCGGGGACCGGATGTCGCTGAGTCCGTGGCCCCGTGGGGCGCCGGGGCGGGTCCCAGCCCAGGAGCCCTCGGAGCGGCCGAGTCCCTGGGCGCCGGGCTCCGCCCCCGGTCCCTCCGGCCCTGACGCCCGGTCGGGCCGGGCCTGACGCGGCCGCTCCCTCAGCTCGAGCTGGACCCCAAGTTCGCCAACCAGACCTGCGGGCTCTGCGGGGACTTCAACGGCGTGCCGGTGTTTGACGAGTTCCTCTCCCACGGTGAGCCACTCCCCGCCCGCCCCCGCCCCCGCCATTCCACGTCAGAGGGCTCCAGCTTCGCACACCTGCACCCACACGCATGCACACACACACGTGTGCAGACCTGCGCACAGCTATGTACAGGCATGTGCATGGATGTGCCCGCACACACCCACACCATCCCAGCATGCACGCGTGCACACGCGTGCACACACTTGTGACCCGGCCCAAGGCATGCTCTCGGGCCTGCAAAGCCAGCGGTGGTGCTCCCGCAGGCGCCAGGCTGAGCGCCGTGGAGTTCGGGAACCTGCAGAAGCTGGACGGTCCCATGGAGCAGTGCCAGGACCCCGCGCCCGCGCCCTCGGGGAACTGCTCCCTCAGCTCGGTGAGCCCAGCGTGGGGGCCGGCCGGGGCGGGGTCACCCACTGGCGGGTGAGGGGACCGGGGACCGGGACCCGGGCCCGGAGCCGCACTCAGGAGCCCGCTCTGCCCCAGGGCCTCTGCGAGGAGCTGCTGCTCGGCGAGCAGTTCATGGGCTGCCACGCCCTGGTGGACGCCGGCAGCTTCCTGAGCGCCTGCCGGCAGGACCTGTGCCTCTGCCAGCACGCCGACCCCGCCCGCTGCGCCTGCCTCACGCTGGCCGAGTACTCCCGCCAGTGCGCCCACGCCGGCGGGCTGCCCCCGGACTGGCGGGGCCCCGGCCTCTGCCGTGAGTGTGCCTGCCCCCGCCCGCCCCGCCCTGCCTGGGGCCCCCACCCTGCCTGGGGCCCCCGCTGGCCCCGGTGTGACATGCCCTCCTCCCCCCTGCAGCCCAGAGCTGCCCCCACAACATGCAGTACCGGGAGTGCGGCTCGCCCTGCACCGACACCTGCTCCAACTGGGAGCACTCCCAGCTCTGCGAGGACCACTGCGTGGCCGGCTGCTTCTGCCCCGAGGGTGAGCCCCCGCCCCCACCCGCCCTCCCCCAGGGCCGTACAGTGCCTCCTGCGTCCGTCCCTCTGCCCGCTGACATGGGGCCCGGCGTGGCCGTGGACACTGGGCCTGAGGGACCGAGGCGCCGGCCACCAGAGCCGAGGGCCCACCCCGTGCTCACGCCTGGACAAAGTCCTCCTCGCCTTCCCCCCACCCCTGGCACCTGCCACACAGCCCGCCTGCCTCCCCAGGGATGGTGCTGGACGACATCGGCCAGACGGGCTGCATCCCCGTGTCCCAGTGTCCCTGCGTGCACAGCGGGGCCACCTACGCGCCGGGGGCCACCCACTCCACGGACTGCACCAACTGGTAGGACCGGCCCTCCCCCACAGTGCCCCCCCCACCCCGGGCCCTGGGACGGTCCCTCCTGGGGCTGCCACTCTCGATCCTCTCCCTCGTGGGCGGGTCTGTGCCGGGGCGGGGCCGGGGAGAAGGCGGGGCGGGCGGGTCTGTGCCGGGGCGGGCACCGAGGCCTGTCTGTGCCGCAGCACCTGCTCCGGGGGCCGGTGGAGCTGCCAGGAGGTGCCGTGCCCCGGCACCTGCGCGGTGCTGGGAGGCGCCCACTTCTCCACCTTCGACGAGAAGATGTACACGGTGCACGGGGACTGCAGCTACGTGCTGGCCAAGGTGCGGTCCCGCGGGCTGCCGCCGCGCAGAGGGCCCCTCCTGAGCGTCCTGGGGTTCCGCGCGGGCGGGAGGGGGCGCAGAGCCTGAGACCCCGTGTCCTGGGGTTCGGAGCGGGCGGGAGGGGGCGCGGAGCCTGAGACTCCGTGTCCTGGGGTTGGGCGCAGGCGCGAGGGGGGCGCGGAGCCTGAGGCCCCGTGTCCTGGGGTTCGGCGCAGAGCCTGAGGCCCCGTGTCCTGGGGTTCGGCGCAGAGCCTGAGGCCCCGTGTCCTGGGGTTCGGCGCGGGCGCGAGGGGGGCGCGGAGCCTGAGGCCCCTCCTGAGCGTCCTGGGGTTCGGCGGGGGCGGGAGGGGGCGCGGAGCCTGAGGCCCCGTGTCCTGGGGTTCGGCGCGGGCGGGAGGGGGGACGCGGAGCCTGAGGCCCCGTGTCCTGGGGTTCGGCGCGGGCGCGAGGGGGGCGCGGAGCCTGAGGCCCCTCCTGAGCGTCCTGGGGTTCGGAGGGGGCGGGAGGGGGCGCGGAGCCTGAGGCCCCGTGTCCTCGGGTTCGGAGCGGGCGGGAGGGGGCGCGGAGCCTGAGGCACCGTGTCCTGGGGTTCGGCGCGGGCGGGAGGGGGGGCGCGGAGCCTGAGGCCCCGTGTCCTGGGGTTCGGCGCGGGCCGGAGGGGGGGGCGCAGAGCCTGAGGCCCCGTGTCCTGGGGTTCGAAGCGGGCGGGAGGGGGCGCGGAGCCTGAGGCCCCGTGTCCTGGGGTTCGAAGCGGGCGGGAGGGGGCGCGGAGCCTGAGACCCCGTGTCCTGGGGTTCGGCGCGGGCGGGAGGGGGGGCGCGGAGCCTGAGGCCCCGTGTCCTGGGGTTCGGCGCGGGCGGGAGGGGGGGCACAGAGCCTGAGGCCCCGTGTCCACAGCCCTGTAACAGCAGCGCCTTCACCGTGCTGGCCGAGCTGCGCAGGTGCGGCCTGACGGACAGTGAGACCTGCCTGCGGAGCCTGACGCTGAGCCTGGACGGAGGGCAGACGGTGAGTGCAGAGCGCGGCTGGGGAGGGGGCCTCATGGCGAGGACCACTGCCCAGCCCTGGCCCTGGCGTGGGCAGCGAGCGCCCGGCCTGGCCCCAGGCCTCCCACCCCGTTTGTCCACTGCGTCCATCCCCAGAACCTTCGGAGGGATTGCCAGGCCAGCGGGGTGGGGGTGGGGGTGGTGTCCTGGGTTTCACGTGACCATGAAAGCGCACTCCTCGGTGCTGAGCACTTGGGGGGACACGAGGTCTCAGGCACATGCCACAGCCTGGGGGGAGGCCGGGGCCCGCAGAGCCGCCCCCTCGCGAACGCGCCCCCTCGGCCTCGCTGCTCCAGGTCGTGGAGGTCAAGGCCAGCGGGGAGGTGCTTGTGAACCAGCTCGTCACCCAGCTGCCCGTCTCGGCAGGTGAGGCCCCGCCCCGCCCCGCCCCGCCCCGGCCCCCGCCCCACCCGCACCCCCTGAGCCAGGCCCTGTGTCCG